GGAAGGGAAGGGAAGGGAAGGGAAGGGAACACCGTGGTAAATAAAGGAGAAATGTCATGTCGAATATTACTGTACAGAAGAAATTGGAACTGACAATAGATAACTCACCTTTCCTCACGATTCTGTCCCACACAGACTCGTCCTCCATGTCGAGGAGTTGGATTGCTGCAGGAACGCTGACGAAATTGAAAACCTATTCCACAAGTGGTGCTACAAGGTGACCAAGAAGTCCACGTTGTCCAGCCTCCATTTCTGTTAGAATAAAAAGCTCAGGCTCTGTCGTGTGTTATACATAGCGAATGGCTGATTAGGTATGACTGACAACAGAATCTGGCCTATTAATATTTCTGTAGAAGTCATTAATACTGCGTCATGTTCTATTTCTTCAGGAATTCTATACCAAAATAAAGGTGCTCTGATATTCCATATTCCATGCTTTGTAATCAGCAACTGCTAAAATTACCTCCTTATACAAGAATTACAAAGATACAAAGATATTTAGTTGCTTTTGGACACTTTGTTCTGGTTAAACTATATATGCAAACTCCTGTATCAATGTTCTGAAATTAAATGACGTATCATTTTTAGGGAGATTAAAATGTCAAATTTTGCTACCTTTTCTGAAAGGAAAGTGATTAAAGCCTGGAGGAAAAGGTGTCTCAGAGGATACCATATTTCTCTCTACACCTACCTGAAAGGAAACTGTAATGGTGTGGGGGTTGGTTTCCTCTCCCAGGCGTTGATCTCTTAATTTTATCAAGGGACAGAGTGAGAGAAAATGGCATCATGTTGTGTCAGGAGAGATTTAGATTGGATATTAGGAAAAATACCTTCACTAAAAGGGTTGTCAAGCACTGGAGTAGGTTGTCCATGGAAGTGGTGGAGTCACCATTCCTGGAGGCATTATAATACTGGCAAATGTTGTATTTGGGAACATAGTTTAGTGGACTAGGCAGTGCTTATTAATGGTTGGACTTGATCTTAAGTGTCTTTTCTAGCCTAAATAACTCTATGACACTAAAGTAAGCTGTAAAATGCATTAGTTCTCAATTTTAACAGGTTATTCTGATGTAAATTCCTTGCCTGTAATGTAACAAAAATGCTAAGAGAGTTCACATGCTGTAGCTTGCCTTTATGAAATTCTAGGAAAAAAAATTTATGCACTTCAGCTGTTATCCAGAACTTTAATTGGCTAGCTGGCAATTTTTTGTACTGGTAGAACACAAACAGGAATAAAGAAAAATAAAACTAAACTATATTGAGCTTTTGATGTTTCATCATAAAAGTAAAAGTTAAAACAGTGCTCTACTAATATAGCAGTGTTAACAGAAGATGTTAAAATAGTAGTGTAATAATGCCAAAGGTAGAATGCTAATCCAGTCCCAATTCACATTCCAAATTCCCTTCTAAACCTGACAGTTGTTTGATTGTTCAATATCTCACAGCATGTTTATATTTTCTATCATTCTCCTGACCTGGTGTTATATAATATATTGTTATATGTATTAATATAATATATTATTAATGTATTATTAATAATTTTCCTAAAATAGACAATTTTCATTTAGAGTTTGCAGTTACCTTGTGCAGAAATGTAATCAGTTTTATTTACTATCATGATGTGATCGTGATGTTAAAAAAAAAGACAAAAACCAGAAAGAGTCACTGAAAATAAGCATAATGCATCAGTATATGTTACATCTTGCAATTAAAGTATGTATAATGCATGTGTATAATGTTTTAAACACAAACTTCTGATGCAGTTCCAAATACTTAATGTTCTGAGTCTCTTTGAAATTATCTGCTCTCACTGATTTTCTCTGGGAGTGCTTAAGTTCCTGAAGAAGACAAAAGAGTAGCTAAAGAGTTCTATACAGACTTATAATAGAATTTGCTATCATGATACAACTGAAAGATACAGTGAAAATGTTTCTCCAGGGAAGAAAGGGGGACTACAATGGTAATATGAGATGTCCAAAAAAGTAAGCCATTCTAACTTCCAGAAAATAAAGTTGTATGAATTACCGAACAGAGGAAAAGTATTATACTTTGGATATTATCTAATTCAGAGCTTTTTGTTAAAATTACCTGAGGACGTTATTTGGTACACAGCTACAGCATTTGAAATGACTCTGCTCTCTGACTCATTCTCTCTCCTACAAAGTCTACAAAGAGAGCAAATTTCTAATATCTTATTTGCCCTTTCATGCACAAAATAGGATCTGTAAATTTCAGGGGAGATTTCAAATGGTAGGCTTTATTCTGATTAAGTTAAATTTTTTTAAATGATAGAACCTGAAATTGCCTTGCATACCTGGAACAGTTGGCAATCTCCATGGTTGGTCCTTCACACAGCCATCCTCCACACTGAGGAGCAGGACTGTCACACACACGCGTCCTGCACAAGCAGGAGCCAACACTGGTACCATCAGTGTGGGTGCAAGGTTTCCACTGTGACCATGTTCCAAAATGTCCATCCACTGTCAGATTCCTCATCTGGAAACAAACACAACAGAAAAGCTTACCTGAGGCTTGAGAGTTCCTTCACACAACCTCTTTATTCTGCTGTGCATGGAGGTTTAGCCTTTAGCCACGAACAATAGCAGCTTCCACTGGACAAATATATCTTCCAGGCAGCAATGTCCCTTTATAATCCCTGTAGCTGCATAATTTACAAACCTTCTGACCAATTTGAGACATTGGATGCCATCACCATAGCAATAACAGAAATCACAACTAACTGTTACCTTTCACAACCATGCTTGCCTACCTCTCAATTTTCTTCTGTATTCCCTACTTCTTAAAATATTCCAGTGAAAATGGAAGCCTGAAACTGACAGTAAAACCCATGATCAAAAAGAAGAACCAGCAGAGGATAAGGAAGAAATGAAGAAGGAATTCTTTATGAGGATGACAAGAGTCTGCAATAGGTTTTCCATGAGAAAGTGTGGATGGCCAATCTGTGGAAGCATTCAAGGTCAGGTTCGATGGGGCTTTGAGCAACGTAGTCTAGTGGAAGATGTCCTTGCCCTTGGCAAGGAGGAATTCAAACTGAATGATCTTTCAGTTTCCTTCTAACAAAACAGTTCTCTGATTCTAAACACAAATGCTGAAATAGTCCACGGTAACAAAACTGGATTGATCAAACTCAAATCTTCACGATGAGTGTCTTTTTTTGAAAACAGATTTTGGAGCATGTGTCATACAGTAGCATTTCATAAGGATGAAATGTGGTTTTAAATATGACAGACACTAAATGTTAAATGAAATTATATGTATAAATCCTAGAAACATCTCCAAAAAGCAACATGTAACCCTACATGATGAAGCCGTTTCCTCCCACAGAATTCAATTCTCAACACCTTTGGCTGGAAAGTTCAGATCATTCTCATCTTGACTGGAATGTTTCCATCCAGCAGCTGTAACACATTTAATATGAAATCTTCATTGCCCAGCTGAAACAAAATTAGCTAGAAAATGAGCTTTTCTAAAGAATATGGGGCAGGACATGGGGAATTCATCTCCCAACAAAGACAGATTTTCATAATATACTTTTAGCAAGGTGCTAATCTTGACAAATCTGTGATCCTAAATGGAAACAATGGCCACTTTTTCACTTAAATATTAAGGATTTTGCCTTTTTTTGGCTGCATATAAACTTTCAGTCAAGACAACAGCACCAACAAGTACAGGCTAAGTAGCATTTAAACTCACTCTTAGTAAGAATAAATATGTATCACTTGTAGTCATGGATTTTTCATCTAATGTGTGAGAAGATAACACTTGAATATTTGCATATATATTGAAACAGGAATTAAAGTTGTAGATTGTCATAACTGATCTGAAACGGTCTTCCTTTACTGTTTTTAGTAATTTAGCAGTGGTGAGAGAAGTGTACATTTCACAAATACTTTGAAGATAAAAGAGATTGAATTACAACATAAGGCATGTTTCCACTGACACTCTGGATGTTGGCTGATTCTTTCCACTGTGGAAAAGTGGAAATAATTTCACTACTGATTGCAATTACCACAGTTTATTTTTCAGAAGTATTACTTGTGCAAGAACAGCTATGTGTATATTCCATCAGTTACAACTGACAGAACCATAATTCATCATTTTAAAATCTGTTGGCAGCTATTTATTGAAAATAACTCACCAACCTTTTCTCATGTAGAGTTTATATGTAGGGTTTTGTAAGACAACAAGAAATACTTCCTTTTAAGTGATAAGCAGACTCGTTCTCTCTTACACTGCTGGTTTACCAAATATTTATAGTCCATAAACTAACAATTCTATGTCCCCAATCTAATTATGTCAGAGATATGAAAATGCCTTTACTGCTTTCTGTTTCTGTACTGCCTCAAAACATCTTTATTGTTGTGTCTACAATTACAAACTAAAGCTTGTCTATGGTTAGACAAGCTAACAGTTGTCTATGGTTACCATAATACCTATTAAGTGGCAGAGAAAGCATACATAAAACACAGCTGAAAGCTTGAACTCAGAAAGATAAATGGATAACATATTCTCTTTCTTCATTATTTTTCCTTGCTTCTGCAAAGATTGTCCCACTGTCTCTGCTGTTCCCCATGACTCATCTGCTCTGTCTCTCTTTGAGTATCTACATTTCAGAAGTGATATCAAACAATTTCATCATAGGACTGCAGGGAAGAAAAATGTACCAATGAGAGGCCTTTGCAGCCCTCACCAGAATACATGCCCATTAACCTTTCACAATCTGACACCTCAAGGGTAAAATCACCGTCAATCAGACCATCTTGGCATGGCTACACTCTGCTTTCCCTACCACCCTGGTTTTGTAACCCTTTCCCTTCTGCAGATACCTTTAGACCTTTCTTACTTTTTAATGTCCTTCAAATACCTATCTTTGTCTCAAGTCTCTCTCTGCACCCACCTCATGTTCCTGCTTTGTGCTTCTGCACTCTGAGTAGAGGTCACAGTTTTTAACTCTGTCAAGAGGTCTTTTTGGTTTGAGATTACTTTTTGTAGAATTTAGTGAGTCTGTAGAATTTTCTGCAGTTCCTAATGAATTTAGATCCCATACTACACTTTCTCTGAGAATAACTGTTAAAATAAAGCCATTTCATGTTGCATACTTCTGTTAAACAAGCAACCAAAACCAAAAACACAAACAAAACCAAAATCCTGAAAAACATTTTTTAAAAATTATTTTTACCTTCCTTGTAAAAGCTCCTAGAGAATGTCAGCATATTTTTAAGTGATAGATTGCAAGTTGTCCCACTGGAAAATATTTCAAAAAACAATGAATCTTCATTACCATAAAAATTATTGGATGAATAATAGGGATACATGACCAACTAGAAAAGATCAAAGTGGATACATACGCCATAGCATTAATTAGTGTCCATATTTATGTACAATTGCTGTACTCATGCCAACTGAAACAATAACCTAAAAATCAAGTTGAGAATTAAATCAGGGCAAGATAACCAAAATAACAACATTTTTCAAAAGTAATCTTCAAAGTCCAGAGATGGTAGCACAGATGCTCATCTATCTCTCCTACTCACCTCTCTCCTCTACCATGACATGCCTATAAGTACTCAGCTGCTGGAAATCAAAAAATGGAAAATTCTACATATGCTGAAGGGTTCAATTTGCAGCCTTGGAAAGAGCTTGGATTGATGTAGTGATGAAATTACACAGACATTGGGTACAGAAATTATAAACTTATGTTCCTATAGTTATAAGTAAGAATATGCCTAGAGTAGGTAAGAAATTGTATTAAGTAAAATAGTTTGAGGTTTAAGATGTAATAGTGTGATGTATAGAGTAAGCTAGAGATCTAGAACCAGCAGTAGAAAAGTATGTGAGTACGTGATCTATCAGCTTATTGGTTAAAAGACAGACAGTGTGGCAAAATTAAGTAAAGGTGATAGGTTAATAAGTGCAAAGAAGTTTCATGACAACTGTCTATTGGGCTAAAATGTTGCTAATATATTGCTGTGCGAAGAAGAAACTCATGCCTTCCTCGAGCTATGGCTGATTTGTTGCTTCTCTAAACCTCGTGCCTTGAGACTGATGTCTTATCTGGCTACTTGAGCAATAAATCATTTCAAATCAAGGTGGTCCCATCCCTTGTTCTTCCTCTCAACACTCAGCCATATGAATAATTCTGTAAGAAATAATTTCTCAAAGGAAACTGGTCTCACTTTTTATCCTGGACTAAACTATTGTATAAACAGACCACTCTCTGATCCAATTTTAGAAGAAGCTGGTCATTCATTAATCTAAAAAAAATTCTACAATGTTAAAAAGATCCAAGTAATTTTACTAACAATTAAGATATTGGAAGCAATTGGGAACCAAAAGAGGGAGAGTAGATTTTGAATATTCTCTTATGTTGTGCCTGCAACAGTGCCTTGAATATATCCAGCGCATGTTAAGGATACACATAGCTCAGTTGCCTAAAAAATTAAATTAATTACATCTTGGCTTATATATCCTATGAGCACAGCACAGCATATAAAAATGCTATAAAAACAAATATTTGAAAGCCTCCCTAAGCAAAATTGTAATTGATTGCAGTTTTCCAGAATACTGTGTTACTTTAGAGGAAAGTTTTTATGAAGTTTTCCAATCTGTTCAAAAATGTGTTACTTAGTGAATAATGTTTAAGACCATAAAGATGTAAACCCACACTTATCAATTTAGATAGATAATTCTAAAATCTTCCTTACATTATGCAGGCTTCCTTATATTGATGTCTGCTCAAGGACAAAATTTCTTTGAAGTTTGAAACTCAACTAGGTCTTTGAGTCTTGGATTAGCAGGATAAGTCTCACAACTATGGATAAATTTCTAAGCAAGACTTAGGTGCCCCCCTGCTTTGACTAGACTGCTATATCCTATGCACATGTCATATAACAGATACTAAATAATTGTTTTACCAGCTGAATGGAAGAGAATGGAATTATGCTTTCTAAATTATTCCTCCCTCCACCCCATCTTGGCCTCATGTTCTGTATCTACAAAAGGAAATAAGGCCTAATGCCACAATTCAAAGACTAAGCACAGCAGGCTGAATGCCCATGCAAATATCTACAAAATGAGGCATTTCAGTAATCTTAGTATTTTCCCCAAAGTTGCTCCTGATTTCAGCTCAAATGCTAATGCAGATGAATCCAACACAGGCCTATTTTACTACTCCTCTATGTGAGAAGGTGGATGCAAAAGACAGAACAAGACAAACATTTTTGAAAAGTTTTAAAAATTTGAAAAAATGTTTATAAAATTGCTATTTAATGTCAAACACAGTCAGAACACAGGAGTACATTCTGAAAGCCCTCAGAATCACTGTCGTATTTGTATCTATGAGGCTGCTGCAATACATGTAGAGAGCACAAGTCAAAGCTAGAAGAACTATGCTGATTTTGCGCATCTCTAGTTCACTAGGAGAGAAAGTGTCATCAAGATGTTAAAGGGAGCTTGTAAACACATAGAAATTAAAACATGAATGCCTTGTGAGCATAAGTTTATAGATGCATGTGCCCCACTGGTGAGTGGGGACAAAAAATAAAGCTCAATAGCACAAGAAAGATACTTCTAAACCCCCTTTTTTCATGCTTTGGAGTGAGGGAAAAGAAGGAATATTAAAACAACACCAGAATAAAATTAAAAATGAGAGACACAAATCAATTTTGTTGGTGCTTTTTTATATTATGTTGAATTTATTCAAAATATTTTTTTAAAGAGAAGTGTTAAGCCATTATAAATATAGACCCTGCATTTATTGTAATTATCACCTCTGTGATAATGTGGGTGAGACTTAATTAATGGAATTCAGCCTTCCAATTCATGGACTTTAGAAGATGTTATTTGGCTTTTTATATTAGTAATAATAATCCTGAAAGAAAAGATTGTACCACTACTGATTAAACTTTTTCAAAGCACACAATGGAGAAAAATTCTGCAGAGAAAAATATGTAAATATCACTAATCTTAGAAAACAATTGCTTTCAAGGTAGGAAATTAGACATTATCTATAAAAACCCCACCCTTTGAAATTACACTAAATAATTTTATCATATAAGTAGTTTGATAAGAAATAGAAATTAGGTATTCTGCTTAAATCTGATGGGAAAACATAGGAAAGTGGCATTAAATGCAGTCTTCTGAGCTTGAAAAATTTATGCTAGCTCATTCTCATGAAATTCACATGGAATCAAAGGTTTTAAAAGAGAAATTAATGCATTTGGACTTACTGGACACATGGTAATGCTTTGCTCCCATTGACTCATGCTCAGACTTCCTTCCAGTGTTGTGCATTTCTTCATCACCATGTCCCAGCCACAATAAGGGTCTTGGGATCCAATGCATGCACTGTAGATGAAAACCAACCAGACAACCATTTATCTTAATTTGTACTGACCAAAGATTTCTAAATAACTATGTAGCATCTCTTGGTATTTTATAGGCAGATGGTGAAATTGATCTGCTTTGTGGTGTGGCACAGACAAAGTTACCAAAACCAGAGGAAAAATTAATTTGATTGCCTACACAAAGCTAGGATTTCTTTATTTCTTTTAAGTGCACAGCTGAATTTCTGTCTGCAGGCATGGTATATTGTCTAGACTGATTTTTGTACTTACTAGATGTTGAGGGTTAGGTGTCCTTTCTTTTTTTTTTTTTTTTTTTTTTTTTTTTTGTTGTTGTTGTTGTTGTTCTGGCCTGCCCATGGAATTTTTACCCATTAGCTTCGGAGACAACCTAAATGTGGGTACTTAGTGGGTGCTCGACAAAGGACAGAGTGGCCGGACCCGGAGGGGGGGGAAGGGGGCAGGAAAGGAGGGTGGGGACAGTTTTTGGCTGGCTTTCTTCGGCTTCGGGGAAAAGACATTCGTTCTCTGGGTCGCGGAGCTGCTGCGGGAGAGAGAAGGGAATTTCGTCATCACCCAGACGGAGCTGCTGCTTCTTCTCCTTCTCCCCTCTTTGTTGGTGACCTTGCACCCCCTGTCCTGCCGGGACGTGTGGCAGTGCCAAGCACCGCCGCGGAGCTGCTGATACACCTCATCCACCAGCTCAGGATATCTGCTCATCCCTCCTGTTCCAGCCGATTGTTCCTCGGAGCCCTGCAGGAGCACCGGGACTGCCCGCCCGAGGGGGTTTGTTAAAACAAACCTCTCCTCCATCCCGTCTCAGCCGAGAAAGCTGTTACGGGGTCCCTGGTTCTGTTTTCTTGTTAATGCTGTAGTTATTGTTGTTTGTTTGCCTGGTTATACTAGTAAAGAACTGTTATTCCTATCCCCAGATCTCTGCCTAAAGGCCCCTTGATTTCAAAATTATAATTCGGAGGGAAGGGGTCTACATTCTTTCATCCCAAGGGAGGCTCCTGCCCTCCCTAGCAGACACCTGTCTTCTAGAACCGAGACACTAGAGAATTACAGAAATTCATAAAGAGGGTATATTGTCTGCTCCAAGTAAAAATGTCAGGAGTTACATGTCAGTTTTGGAACTGTAGCTATCATCTTTTTCAGAAATCAGAGGACAATGTCTGGTCTTTGAAAATTAATTAGAAAACTTTCTGATCTATTTTCTGCACTTGCATAAAATCTCTGGAAGTTAGTTCAAAGGGGCACTGGTGGCTGCCATCACACCTCTTTACACATCACATGCTGCCCTCAACACTCATAGTGGCATATGAGGAGGGAAAGTAAAGGATTACTGAGAAGGATGGTAGCCCAGTTTCATACAGACTCTGGAAGACCCACTATACAGAACTAGAAGTTCATTTCTCTGATAAATAGCAGGTTTCTCTTGCTAAGGTCTAACATTAACAGTCCAGGCAATATGTCTGCAGTTTCATAGCTAAAGATCCTTAAGAAAGGAGGTGGAACTCCCATTATAGTGAAGCAAAATATAATTGGTTTAACACTTTTAAGACTATCTATAATTTACATATAAAAATAATGCATTCAAACATTTTGTCTAGGTTGTAAAAAATGTTAGATTGATCATTTCTGTTCTACTCAAATCCACTGGCATGCCTCTCTCTTTAATTATCTATTCCCATCACATCTGTTGACTGAAGAGCCACAGGGATGATTAAGCAACTAGAGCATCCCTCCAGTGAGGAGAGGCTGAGAGAGCTCAGAGAGCTGTTTAGCCTAGAGAAGAGAAGGCTCAGAGAGGATCTCCTCAATATGTACAAAACCCTGAAGGAAGCATGCAAAGAAGAGGATCCAGGGTCTTCAGTGGTACCCAGTGACAGGACCAGAGACAATGGGCACAAACAAACACAGGAGGCTTCAACATCAGGAGACGCTGTTGCAGAAAGGATGACTGAGCACTGGCACAGACAGCCCAGGGAGCTTCTGGAATCTCCTTCCTTGGAGATATTCAAAAGCCACCCAGACATGGCCACATAGCTCTGGACAACTGGAAAGCCCAGCAAGCATTGGACCAGATAACCACTAGAGACCCCTGATGTGATGAGACCTAAACTCAAATGTTCTGTGTTTCTGTCCTAACTGATTTATGTGTTTTATTGGTATTTCTATTTATCTCTGGCATTCCTCATGTACTTCCATATGAATACCTGACCAAATGCAGACTTACTAATTTCCTGGAGTGTTATACCAAAATACTGTAATTATAAATTTCAAAGAATTCACTTCCACATTCCACTTGGCAATGTGGATTGCCAGTACCACGTGGGAGCATAGTTCTCATCTGCAAAAAAGGCACAATTTAAGAGGCAAAACAGTCAAAACTCCCTGTGATAGATTAGCATTTAAGAAAAAGTAGGAAACACCTAAAGAAGTTAAGGCTGCTGGAGGCTGATGGGAGTTTTTCTCCTGGCCAATAACTGGTGATTTCTAAGAATTGACAGTAGTTTTGACCATTGAAAAGTGAGATCAACCTGTGAACACCACCCTTTAAAATCTAAGCCCGGGAATTACTCTCTCTCTGGTTTCTGGCTTTGAAGAGGTAACAGGACTCTGGGCAGACAAGGCCACAGGGGGAGAGGGGCTGACCAGAGTTCTGCGGTTCCTGGCAGGGGATGGAGACTGTGAAGTGACAGAAGACCCTGCCCAGAGGGGCTGAGTCCCTCGGAGGGCTCACTGGGCCTTGTACAGTGGGGCTGCCAGCCCAGGCTGGTCCCTGGCTCGGCTGGAATTCTGCCGCTGCTGGGTTTCACCAGAGACTGCCAAGTAGGGGGACGGAAGCCGGTGGTGTGCTGCCTCTGAGGGCTAGCCTGGCTGCTGAGATGCTGGCCCCCATCCCCCAGCGCAGCCGCTGAAAATCTTCCATCACAGACAGCTCCAGCCGCTGCCCCAACAGAGATCACGGGACCATCCATAAGGCCTGGGCAAGATTTTAACTCTTTCACTACCTATATGAGACCTGCAGACTTATTCCTTTTTCAGAGAGAAGAAAACGAAAGTGATTAACATATAAAGAGACAACATAAATTATCGAAGCCAGTGAGGAAAAGAATTAAGCCTCAGATGGGAAGAGAATAAGGAGATGCCTTAATAAGCTGAAATATTCTTTTGTTAAAGCTATGAAGATGGACAATAATATTCTGGAAAAAACTCCTTTAATTCATGAAAGAGTATTTGAGGGAGGAATGGAGTATTCCAAAGTGTAGATCTAGCAAAGATAATTCATTGATAAAGCTGAGCAAATGGTGAAGTAGTTGTGATCCTAAGAGATGCTGGAACAGAAAAGGAGAAGTGAGAGTTGTTGAAGATTTGTGGCCCTTAAGAGAAAAAGAGAAAACTTCTGTTTCCAGAGATGATAATAGAGACAGATGAAGAGAACTTTTGCCTTTGAATAACTCATCCTTAAAATGACGCCCCTTGAATCATGGCCCACAAACACACCTCAGAGTGGTGTGAAATGCGAGGAAAGGACTGATGGCAGTTTTCCGGGTGGCTGGGATCAGAGAAATAGAAAGCCATGAGAAAATGGTTTTCTTGTGAAAAACTCCATAGATTGACAAAAGAGAACTTCTTTTTCTCTACAAAGACTGATGAAAAGACTATAGCAAAGTTGAGACTATTTTAACCACCAGGTTTTGTCTCTATTGTCTATTAAACAAGGGAATGGTTGGGTGGTGGGAAAAAAGGGTTTTTGGAGGTTTTATTCTGGTTTCTTATTCTTGTAGTTTTGTTAATAAACTTTCTTTATTCCTTTTATGTTTTAAGTCTATTTGGTTCTTCTCCTAATCCATATCTCACAGCAAGAGATGAGTAAGTTTTCTAGTGATTTTTTAGCTAATGCTTTAAAACCACAACAGACCCCTAAACAGGATCAAAGATCAAAGCCAGCTCAAAGATAAAGCTTTTGGTTCAGGAAATTCTCTGTTCAGAAGAGAGTTCCCACTGTTGGTTCCTGCAGCTGTTAGCACTTAGCATTTTTGTAACTCAGGCTACACGTTTCCATTTAACTATCTAGAAAGTGAGAAAGAAGATTCATGCAAATTAAGGCAAATTAAAAAGTTTTAAGTGTCTTGGTTTTTCAGTGTTTCCAAGATGGGATATCCAGTGTTCTCCTTCTGAGTATCTCTGATAAAGCATGTGTTTTATGAGAAAAGAATGCAAGAACAAATTAAAGGCTGACATAATGCATAACTGGCAATGCTAGCAATGATAACATTGAAGTGAAAACTTGTGCCTCAAAGCCAAAGTACTCAATTTTCCAATTTCAAAGCGTTCATATTTATAAATTCAGTAATTATGCTTTAGAAACTTTTTATTAAAAATAAAAATATTTCAAAGTCTTTTGAAATATCCTTTCACTTAGAACCATACTCCTTCTTTAGTGGGAGTAAGCTGATCCTTCTCCCACTCTGGTCTTAGACCCCATTTCCTCTTTTGCTTTTTGCATTCACTTTACCTTCAATACAAGTAAATCAAAACAACTTGCACCTTTAATTACAAGTCACTCAGAAGTTTTAAATAAGATGCTAGAAACATACTTTGACTGTCCTTACAATTTTCTGGTATCAGAACAGATCCTAGTTCCATGAAGAAAAGTTCTTGTACTGCTATGACAAAGAATGTTTGGTCACTCTGTGAACACTGAACAGGTTTTTTTCTCAGTAGCTGACCAGGTTTGGAGTGCTCTGCAGCAAGGTAAAATGAGGTGAATCTTATTACAATTTAGTTAAGAAGATCCACTGAGTATATGAAAATTATCATTTTAAGAAGTTAATAACTCAGCTAACCTCATGCAGATGACAAGAGGATAACTTCCTCCTCAAATTAGAGGCATTACTATTCTTCAGTAACCTTTTTCTTTAAACTACAATACAGAAATTAATCCTCTAAATATATAAACAAAAAACAAAGCAACAAGACTTTTTTTCAGAGAAA